ACGGATGCTAGATTCGATTCCATATGATTAAATGTAAGTATTTACACTATTCCGTATCCGTGCCGTCCGTGTCCGTACCGGCACCGCAGATGTCGTTGACGACGATATTTTCACGGATCGGACGGCACTGAACGTGTCGGTACTGACAAATGTAAATAGGCTTCAGTGTAGCATTCAGATTTTTGAGTCTTATTTTGTATCAATCTGCGATATCGAGAGCATTCTTTTAAAATTAAGAAATGAATTAAGATAAAATTATTTCAACATAATTGATAGAATTAGTGCAACAACACATCGAATTATACGATCTTTCCCATCCAAAATATCTTGATGGAATTTATAAAGAAAAACTGTGACAGAGTATTTCTCAAGAACTTGACCAACCAGATAATTTTACTCATGATAAATATTATTTTACAAATAAATTTTTATGTTTATTATAAACATCATTTTATTTGAAGAAAAAATACACAATTTTCTTCAAAAATTTATACATATGCAGGAACATGTTTTCGCTAACTCTCCATCTTGTATATTGTTTTTGTATTTTATTATCAATTAAATTGAATAACACATTAAAAGCATGTTCTGACATTCTAAAATATTGATAAAATTTAGATGCACCATCAACCAATTCTTTATATAATGTAAAAAATTCATTTTCTGTTTTTTGTTTTGTCCATGCTTTATGAACCCATAAAATCCGTTTTTTCTTTTTTTTTTAAGATTTCTCTTCGTCTAAAATTAATGCTATTACCGCTAATTCGTTTATCGATAGCTCTGCCATGTTCACAGTCTCCTTGTATGTCTCCGATGTATGTCTCAAGACTGCTGTTTCAAAACATTCACGGATGCAATCCGAATATGTGTAAATACCTAGACAGTATGATGACCTCATATAATACTTCTAAAGAGTTCCACAAATTTTTCTGAGTTGATAAATTCAGATCAGAAGGTGGTTAGAACGTACTCATAATGTACTCGGATGCGTCGACTTCTGAGCTCGTTTTGATTTCATCATAAAGAGCTCTTTATGTATATAACAAATATAACGTACCTCAAAAAATTACCTGTGAAAAATTGCATCAGAGATCGTTGTACCAGGAACAATTTCACACACTGCGTGTCTTTTTGCGCACTGCGAACTGCGAGACTTGGAAAGTACTTTATGAATAAATATAAATAACAAAGAAAATAATCGACGAACATATATGGATGACCAGCAAGAACAATGATCGGGTCAGGTTGGGTGATGCGTGTTTTTTTGTTTTCGCGCATCATATTATATAATGTCAAAATAAGCTATGTATGAAGAACTATTTTTTGTGTTAGAAATATAAGTTCATAGTGAGCTCTTTTTTATTTACTGTTAAAGAACTCAGAAAAAAGCACTTTTAGACAATTTTTTATAATTATTTTGGCAGATCATAAAAAATTCAAGAAAGAGAATTCTTTTTGAACCCTTTCTGGAAATCCTGCTGTTTGAGTGTAAACTGTATATTGAGCAGACTAAATTTATTTTAAAAGAAAAAGACTTTACTGTGATATTGCGATATGATTGCGACTTTTTTTATATATAGGAGACATTGAGATATATATGTGCATATAGGTTAAAAATATTATTTTTCTGTCGATAATTAATCTTACATACATATAGTGTGTGTGTGTGTGTGTTGTGTATTTATTGTTTGTAACAACATTTATGCATTTAATACCAATTTATTTTTAATTTAATAGTGTCATAATCATTTGATGCAATAAAATTCCGTAGAAAAAAGTTGGAGAAGAACTTGCTTTTTTTACTGTGCTCATAAAAATTTTATTCAATGAATTATAACTCAATGAATTACAAATGCCTCACAACTGGTAAAACTGCTTGACGTGAACTTGCGATTGTCCCACATGCCAGGTCATCGTGTAGCGACCTGGATATCCGTTGATTGTGAGCCATGAGCATTAATTCCTGTCCACCGTGAAAGCGTTTACGCGGTTAAATAATATATTGGCTAAAAATATAGCCGACGGCATTCAAGAACATTTATTTGTTTACTTAGACGACATGCATATATGCTCGAAAATGAACTATATCTGAAACTCATGATTACATTATTACACAAAATAAATTATATGAACGGAATTTTAATCCACTGCAAATTACAAATGCAATGATCTTTTTATTATAATTTATTATTAAATATTTATATTTTTCTTCAAATCTACATATATGTCATCATATTATATCTACATATTTCATTTCAAATGTATGTATTTTAAAATTATAAAGGCTCTGATGATTAAATATCTAAATTGAAATATAAAGAAGCAAAAAGGGCCAATGCCAGTTGTTAGTGCAAAAACATGTAAAAAGAAATATACAGGGTGTCCGACAATTGCTGAATCACCTCTCGGGTGTAGGTAGAGCGAGTTAAACCGAGTAGAAAAGTCCTCTACCGTTTTGCGATTTTGGCAATAATTAATGAGAAATTAATTAAAGAAGATCGGCCAATTTCCGCGAGTCTAAGCGTGCAGCGAGAAGAGACAGCCCACTGTTACGTGGTCGCTAGGACGCAAGGATCTAGCATTCAGCACCGCTCGTATGTTGCCGTTGTCAATTGTAGAGCGCTTCTCCCAACGCTTCATCGTGTGCCTAGTAACCAAATAACAGTGGACTGTACCGCCACGGGTCTCTTCTCGCTGCGCACTTAAACTCGCGCGAATTGGCCGATAATTTTTAATTAATTCCCCATTAATTATTGCAAAAATCGCAAAATGGTAGAGGATTTTTCTACTCGGTTTAACTTGCTCTACCTACACTCGAGAGGTGATTCAGCAATTGTCGGACACCCTGTATATATAATATATTTTGCACAAACAACTAACATTAGCTCTTTTTGTTCCTTTATATTTCAATTTGTATATATTTTATTGATTAACTTTTCTCTCCAATATTATTGGGTGAATCATACAATTCAAATATCCTTCGAGTATTATGTAGTAAATAAAAAATGAATACTTTTCGACAAATTTCACATTATGTATCAAAATACAAAAAGTAAAATATAATATAACTTATATTTGTTTTTTAATAATCTTGCTTTAATACTTTTATATTCAAAATAATCAAAAAATATCTATTTTTCTTCTGGATCTCTTCGTCATGTAACATCATTTTGAAAAAAGTGTAGTTACATTTTCATGCATCATGCATGCATTATTTGCACATATGTAAAAATAACAATTAAGTCCAATCGACTCTTTTTTTACCGTTTTTTTTCTACCGTCAACTATAAAAGAGATACAACGTAATCAAATTGCAAAACATCTTCTACATAATTTTTAAGAAAATCGTAAAGTTTTTAAAGAATATCGTATGTTTATTTAATAATAATATCTTTAGTAATCTTTTGAGATGGAAATCTTAATACAAAAATGTCCACGTTATACATTTAAATAAAAATTAAAATTAAAATTCATGAATCATAGAATTGATATTTTGTAAGTGTGTAGTAAGTTTGTCCAAAAATGGATAAATTCGTACGTCAGTCTCTTTTATTAGCTTGAAGTACTTTGAAATTATCATGCAAAATAGACATTTGCATAAAATTTTTAAGAAACTAATATATCTGTTTATATATTTAATACATACATATATTGCATGTGTATGTATAATTAACATAAAAAAATTTTTTTAATCTTAATTAACGATATTATAATTCAATATTATAACATTACAAAGTAAGTTCTAGTCTTATTAATTAAATTTCTTCATTATTTTTGTCTAGTATAATAAAAATCTTTTTTCTTATCATTTTAATCTAGTCATTCAGGATAAACATAGGACTTAAAATTTGTGTCATTAATTAAAAATTGCTTTGTGTATTGCATATTTATTATTATTATAAATATATATAATAATAGAAAGATAAATAACACTTATGTATATGATAAGATTTATAATACTCCTTTCTTATATATAAAACATAAAACGTGGATATAAAAATTGATTAAAAATTGATACATAGATTTATACATAGATATAGATATTTGAATACTATATAAATCTGTTTACAGATTGCTTGCAATGTTTGCTAATAACACCGGTTGTGAAGTCGTTTCGTTGCAAGTCGAAGGACCACTTGACAAAATTTAACAGCTTTTCAAAAAAGGTAATAAATTTTTTTTTTAGCTCTCTCCCTTTCACCTCTTTCCCCCTCTCTCCCTCTCTTGCATTAAAAAGAAAAGAAGCAAACCCAAATGGCATATTTACATAAAGATATAGCCACACTAAATCATAAAATGGCAAAATGACAACATTTTCAACAAATTAAAAGTATTATGCCAAACAATTATCCAATAAAGTTTGTCTAAAAATATATCAATATAATAGCTGCATTTAATTGCAATTGAAATTGATTATTATTGTATGCTGGTACAGTTATTTCATTATATATGCAAATTAAATTGTATTATTTTAAGTTCAGCATATCCGTCTGGGGAATTGTTATGAAATAAAAAATTCGTTTGTAATTTCGACAAACATCCACTCTTTTGTCAATTCAATTTTATTATTCAGAATAAAAAAATGCTTTAAATTTTTATCATTGATTGAGAATGCTTTATGTATTGCATACTTTTTAAAACTATGTATTGCATATTTATCACAATTGATATAAAAGAAAGCTTTTTATACTTCCATAGCAAAAAACGTGAAAAAAACAACTTTTAAAGAATAATTCTATTTCTGACGATTTAATTAAATTATTCATTGCGCTTTTTGCATCAGAAAATGTGTTAGTACAAGATCAAGGTTTGACTTAATATCAATAAAAAAATTTTAGCATAATAGCATTTTCTTTTCATTTGATCAAAAAAATCTAAGAAAAATAAGGAATTTACCTGTCGATAGCACCAAAAGGAAAATAAAGTGAAATATTAATTAGCATCGCGACGTTTGGGAGTGGTGGTCGAGGAATCCGCTGCTTATAAAGGTCCGCAGAAAGGCAAGCTGATCAGTTCAGTGCTAGTACATCAAAAGAATTCTATCGTGTGTCCCTAACATATATAGGTGGGTGTTAAATAAAAAAATCTTTTTCGAATCTTAAATTCCTTCGGTATCATTGAATGGAAAAAAGCGTTTGAAAGATTTTGATTCACCTCTTCGTACCTGTGTAATACAGTGAAATCTTAATCTTTGTTTCATCGATGATTCAAATTCGATATTTTGCTGTGAAATCTTAATATTTCATAAACATAAAAATAAAAAATTAATCGGAAGAAATTATTACACGTATTATTTACACGATTGCGGAGATTGCAGCAAATAAGAGAGTGTAATATATTTTTTATTTTGACGTGTGCGATTTATAGAAATTTGAGAGGAAAAGATATAATTTATTTTTAATCCAATCTTCAAACTGATTCTGTTTTATCTCTAAATTTGTGCTTGCTTCTAGAAATCATGTCGGCGGCTGGACCAGAAATAATAAACGGCTCCGCCGCTACGGTGACGTCCACTGGACTATCGGCATCTACCGTTTTTTTCTGCCTTTTGATACCTGCGCTAGTCTTATATTACATCTACTTCAAGATTTCCCGTCGTCATATGATTGAGTTAGCAGAAAAAATACCGGGTCCTGATGGCTTACCATTAATTGGAAACGCGCTAATGCTCCTAGGAAGCTCCGACAGTAAGACTTTAACACTACAATTAACGTATTTATTTTTACTTCTTTTTTCTTTCTTTTCTAAAAAAGAGGGAAACGTAAATTGATCAATTCAATCATTTATATATTACAATAAAGCCCACGGAATATCTCATTAAAAATGCACCGTTAAAAATTTGAATAGTTTTTACAAGAAATTGCAAACCAGTTATTTTGACCAGTTAGTTTGATCGTTTTGATAGTTCTTGTGATATGTAAGAATATAATGATAACAAACATGTAAAATCGATATTTTAATTCAATTAACGAAATCTATATCTTTATTAATTTTAGCGCAAGAATATGAATATTAAGTAAAGTAGTAATTGACATGTTTATCGTGAAAATCAGCTATATAGAATTTAAACACCTTTTCTTTAACTTTTTTCAATAATAATTTAAAACAACAAAGAAAGTTTTCAACTATATAAAATTGCTGGTTTAAATTGTGTCTTTTCTCGGCAAAAAAGGTAATCTCATACGAGAGAGAGTTATGCGTAAATATTGCCAAAATTGATCTAATTCAGATAGTTACTAGAATGCGGTTATACAAATTGTGATTCTAATATTTGTGACAGTTTTCAAATAAAGTATAGCAATAAAATAATTCTCGTTATGTCACATCCGTTATATTACTTATCATTTGCATTAGATAATCAAGTGACTTTCGTAATGAGACTACGCACATATTGACGTAATTTCTGCGATCGATCACGCATGCCGTTTCTGTTACAGCCGTCTTTCGTACTGTGTACAGAAAGTCCTTCGAGTTTGACCACATAATTAAGCTCTGGCTCGGACCAAAGCTTTTAGTCTTTTTAATGGATCCGCGCGACGTCGAGATTATTTTATCCAGCCACGTTTATATCGACAAATCCTCCGAATATCGATTCTTCAAGCCCTGGCTTGGCAACGGACTCCTCATCTCCACCGGTGAGTACTTGATCTTTACTGCGAGTTATATTCGCCTTATAGACGAAACGCATTGTTTGCAAAAAAAAGTTGTTATCTCCGCAAAACGCATAACCAAGTATGCAATTAGCCAGGTGTGAGTCAATTCAATTTTTCTATTAAACATATTACATTTTTCGTATTTTTTCATTATAAGTGCTTGATAATTCGCTAAGAAAACATGTCCAACGCGAAAACATGCTTCTTCTTACAATTTTTTCACTTTTGCATTGTACATAATAGCTAACATATTATTGATTTGATTTATTCATTTGATTTATATCAATTACTAGTCTATCTATTGTATCTGAGCTGAGCCAATAAACTTATAAAAAGCTTACAAATTCACCTACTATTAATTTTCACTGCTCAAATAATTTTATGTTTTATTAGCGCATCTAAATGCAGGCAATGTACGAATATCATATCCTAATCAATTTGTCACGTAAATTCTCTTTTAATTATAAAAAGAAAATTCTTAGTAGAAAAGAAGAGAAAACGGAATCTTTTGAATATCTTCAATAAACGATCTCTTGGATATCATCAGTTTAAAGATTGCTCAAATTGCTGCATAACAACTACTGATTTATTAATGTGCTTTTTAAAGCTCTTTACGTAACATGCAAGTTGTAAAACGCGATAGCCAACCATGACTGGCAAATAAAGCTCTCCTCGACAAGTGGCTTTTCTTGCCGGTAACGATAAATGGCAAACGATAGCTTCCGCAACGCGCATACCTGAAACACTTTTCTCCACCCTTCTCCGCTTAATGCCACGTTCACACATGCATCTTATTACATTACATTTGATTTACTTGTAAAAATTTTGTGAAATGATTTTGAAACAGAGACTTTGGTGTTGAAACTCAATTCAAACCTCTGAAAATTCAGATATAAAAAAAAGACAGACATTTAGTTGGTCTAAATTTCGATAAAATTTAATACGAGGTCTGTTCTTTATAGCTAAACTAGTTGCACTAGTTCTAGCCAGTACAGCCAGTTCAGCTATGAAGAACAGACCTACAGTCTTATTTCAAATGCTAACGATTTCTATCACTAAATCAATCTTAAAACACCTTTCCGCAATGAAATGTCTCGATACTCCTTTTTTCTTATTTGAATTCTATCGATAGACTAGTTTTAGCGCTTAAAAGAAAGATAAGATTCGCTCCAGAATGCAGCAACCTGGAGAAATGCAAGCAGTCGCGGATAAACAAAAGAAGCGAGATGCAACGTGCATATCGACCGAATATGCGCCGACTTTTATCGCAACTTTCTCGGCAGCGGGATGTCCTTTTTTTCGTTCACAAAACTCTCTCAATCGACGGCTGCGTAACAGCACATGCACGTAACGACGCGTGTTACCTCCTAGTTGATTCGCATGCATATATAGCACTTACTGTGAATGTCGCCGAAGCTGTACCGCGACGTCCACTCCGCAAAGGCGTCGACATGCACCATTTCGCGCTGATTTTTTCCGTTCTGGATTATTTCGCGTAAACTGTATTTTCGCAGCAACAACATGTTGTGTAATAGTCACATAATCAAATCGTGTTCGTGCGCTATTTAGTTATTACCGTTACTGTCAGTTGTATATGCGCAATCAAGTTTCACGATTCGTTGAAATGTGAAAGTACCAAGAAATTGGTTGATATAATATAGTCGCACGATTGATTCTAACGTTTTTATATCTAATATTAAAAAAGGAAGAAAGAGATGAAAATATCATCTTTACATAAAAATCTCCATTGCAGTATATAATATTATCTTATAAACTGCGAATAATATGAAAAATAATGTTACATCAGGAGAAATAATTTTAAAATAAAATATTTTCTTTTTTATATTTTATAAGGAAAATATTTTATCAAAATTATGTTCTGATAAGATTATATGTTTCGAATCAAACTTTAAATATGTCTCAAGCCGATAAAAATTTCTAACAGCATATTATAACTAAAAATTTAGCAAATTATAAAGTTTCGAGATTCGCGCTGCAACCAACTTTCATGCAACAGCAAAAGCACACACTACGTTGCAACAGTAATAATCCAAAACGTCGGATTTTGATATGAATACATGAAAAAAGCATGTAATATGATTGTTGACTAGCCGTTTTTTTCGCCGCACTAAATCGATTTCTAAATTAAAAAATTGTGTCTTTGATTGTAGATTAGATTATGAAAACATTAAAAGCGACGCCTATGCGCACACGTATGTCGCGGTGTTCACGAGACGGTAAAGGATTTCTCGCTCTCTTGTGAGAGCAGGGAAAAGCGAAGAGGGAGAGTGAGTGAAATGCAATTGGTCCGCGGCAATCTCCGATAGACAGTGCAGGAAGGAAATTTACACGCGCGATGCTTTCTCTCCCTAACTCCGTCCTCCACTGATATATGTACGCATCTCGCTCTTTCCTGAAAGCATTATTGCTGTATCATTACAATGATTACTGCCTCCGCGTGCATACATTATGAATTCTTCTCTCTCTCTCTCTCTCTCTCTCTCTCTCTCTTTCTTATTTCTTCTACTTATTTTCTTCTTTCCGTTTCCGCATATTTGGTAGAAAGTATTGTCAACTACGCAATCAAATCCCAGGGCGTTATTTCCGTAATCTTGTAGACTTTAAATTCACGAAATAAATTCCTATCAATACTTTTTAGTCTAATTGCGGTAGGAAAGTTTCTATTGCCATTACAAAACAATAGATCAGGAAGAGTGCACAAACTCTTTACAGGTCCGAAATGGCGTGCCCATCGCAAATTGATCGCGCCAACATTCCACTTGAATGTGCTAAAGAGTTTCATCGACCTGTTCAACGCTAACTCGCGCGCCGTGGTGGAAAAGTTGCGTAAAGAGGGAAATAAGGAATTCGATATTCACGATTATATGTCTGAATGCACGGTCGAAATCCTTCTCGAGACAGCCATGGGCGTCTCCAAATCCACGCAAGACCGAAGCGGTTTCGAATATGCCATGGCTGTTATGAAGCAAGTATTAAAAAAAAAACATTATAAGCCAGAGAAGAAAAATTAGAATAATGAAAAAAAAACATTAAACATTATTTATACATGCAGTATTCAGTATTTTTTACTAGCTGTCATTCTCCGTCGTAAATGTCCCCAAAAAAATTTCAAGATCTTTAATTTATGAGAGATGACGCTATTAAAATTTTAGTATAGGAAAATTTTCAACTTTTGTTTGGCACATTTACAAATGAATATTATTCTCACGTTGGAATAAAAAAAGAATATAAAAACATAAGTGTTATTAGGATGTAATTGTCTTTTAGGATGTGTGATATACTCCATCTGCGTCACACAAAGGTTTGGCTCAGACCCAACTGGCTCTTCAACCTCACGAAATATGGAAAAGATCAAATCCGCTTGCTGGAAATTATTCACGGACTCACGAAAAGGTCATCGCACGCAAGAAGACAGAGTTTAAAAGTGGCAAGCGCAACGTTATCGATAATGCTACACAAAATGACACCTCCAAAGCTGCCAAAGTAATCACCAATATTACCTATAACATATGCATTCCAACATAATTAGAAATTCGATTTCGAAAGTCTTCACACAGTTGTATCACTAAGTGATGAATCGTTGTCATTGTTACGTAACGTCCTATCTTTTTTAGAACACCTCTGTGGAAGGACTTTCGTTCGGACAGTCGGCCGGTCTGAAGGACGATCTCGATGTCGACGATAATGATGTCGGCGAGAAGAAGAGGCAAGCATTCCTCGATCTGCTGATGGAAGCCGGCCAGAATGGTTCCATTCTGACGGATGAGGAGGTCAAGGAGCAAGTCGACACTATCATGTTCGAGGTAAGTGATTGCAGACGCGATTCGAAAAGGATCAATGCTGACGAGCCATACTCGCAGGGACACGACACGACCGCGGCTGCGTCCAGCTTCTTCCTATCTATTATGGGTTGCCATCCGGACATTCAAGAAAAGGTCATTCAGGAGCTCGATGAAATCTTCGGTGATAGCGACAGGCCTGTGACCTTCCAGGACACACTAGAGATGAAATACCTCGAACGGTGTCTTATGGAGACTCTTCGCCTATTTCCGCCTGTGCCGCTCATCGCGCGTAAAATCAACACTGATTTGAAACTTGGTTAGTTTTCAAAAACGTTTCTTAAAATAACTCTAAAACAAGCGAAACATCATCACAAATCCGAGACACTTCCGCAATCTGCAAAAACACTGATAATTCTTTTATTGCACAAATTTATAAATTATTTATAACTAAAAAAAAGTTATTAAACCACAGAAATTCACGCAATATAGAAATAAATACAAAAATTTTGGGTCATTAATTTGTCAGATGTTCTCCCATCATTAATGACGAACGATGTTTTAATTTGTCGTTTCAGTATCGGGAGACTACATAATTCCAGCTGGATGTACAGTCGTGGTGACGACCTTTAAGATGCACCGACAGCCGCATCTTTATCCGAACCCAGAAGTCTTCAATCCCGACAACTTCCTGCCCGAGAAAACCGCTAATCGACACTATTACGCCTTCGTTCCGTTCTCCGCCGGACCGCGCTCCTGCGTGGGTCGCAAATACGCTATGCTTAAGCTGAAAATTATCCTATCCACGGTCCTGCGAAACTTCCGCGTCAAATCAGACATTAAGGAGTCCGACTTCCGGCTTCAGGCCGACATCATCCTCAAGCGGGCCGAGGGCTTCAAGATCAAATTGGAACCGAGACAGTCAGCGACTGCCAGTGCTTAAACAGCATGTATAATACTTTAAAAGTAAAGCGATAGAAAGATGTAACAAAGTGACGAAATCGCGTTTAAAACTTTTGACCGAAGTGGTCTCGAAAAATCGCATTTTGCGCGCGTGCGCAAAAATTACATATAGATGTTGCATATTATTGATCTATAGCATCGTTAATCGTTGAATGATATTGTTAATGTAATCGCTTACACTGATATTTATCACTTGCAATAAATTACACGGCATATCCGCCGCGAAATATCAAGTCCAATTATTTGTTCTTTTCCTATCCTCGACTATACGTGTATATTAATTATAGGATAAAAAGTAGAATTAGACATGCGAAAATTTGATTCAAATATACGCGCAAAACCGGTCCGGAAAAATTCCAAAGAAGAAAAATCGTCAGAAGTCTACTCCGCGATTAGAGAAAGTGAGCGAGATCCAATTGGGTGCCTTAAGATTAAAACTCTCGCTGGAGCTCAATGGAACGAAATGAAAAAGGTTAAAGACGAGCTGAAAGCAATGCTACCGATATTAAAACCTTCAGAAGTAAAAAGGTTTAATTTTATTTTCTAAAATAAAAAATTATTCTCTATTTTTTTTTAATTCCATATCATACTGTTTTGAAACGTTTCACTGTAACCTAAATATCATACTTATGCGTCATTATATACTATCTATTTCTTCTCATTTATTCTTCTTTGCTTGATCTATTTTGAAAGAATTCAAAATTTCGTCTTTTTATAATTATTGAATTATCATCCTGAATAGATTTTATTTGCCATTTCACGAAGTTATTATTGATGAGCTCGAGGAAAATGGTTATAGAGAATCGGTCGACTATTTGCAAAAATTAACTGAATTTGATGAAGAAATTCGGAAAGAAGCTGGACCGGGTACATTAATATGGGAGAAACCTTGTTTAAAAGATAATAAAAAAGCAATGATGCGTCTCAAAGAAGGCTTGATGGCCTATGAAGAAAGTAAAAATGCTGGTGCATAAAAGATTCAAAATATAAATTTTACAACATTTGTTCACAAGTAACATCCGTATTCTATGATTTGAGTAATAATTGATCCTTAAATAAAAAATATATATTGACATTTTGACATTTCTATCGTGAAACTCTGACATTTGAGAAACAAAACTGGATAATACGAGAATGCTTTAAAGTGCGAATTTTTTTTACATAGGAGATATAACTTCTGCAACCATGGAATTCCTGAAAATGGCACAATTCTTTCAAGCAATGACACGGGAATGGTGGTGGGTGGCGGAACGGCTTTACCACAGTGCTCTGGTGAACGCGGAATTGATCAAGAATGACGAACAACTAATGATCACTTTAACACGCTATCTATACGGCCGATTTCTGTTCGAACAAAGTTAGTAAATGTTGGGAGTTTCACATAACGCAACGAAAAAAAACTACAACTGCACACAGTTTAAGACGATATAATTTTGTGTCATTATTATTCATATAAAAAAATTGACTAAGATATTTTTATCAAGTGCTTTACTTATTAATTTGCAAGCTAATAATATGTTATATTATTTGTTTGTGCTATTTGTACGTAATTATATTAACATATTTAATTATAAATTAACATTACAATGATATTAGTTATCTATTTAATTATAAATTAACATTTAATTATGCATTAACAGTACAAAACGCAGCAGAATCGTTGAATTACTTAAATACTGCACGCGAAGCATCACAAGCAAAACCGTGGACTGCATCGAAGATCACTGGTCGAAAAGAAGAAAACATCTTTTATAAATGCAACGTGCTTCTGTGTAGAGCATTGTTGATATACGCGCAACAAATCGAGTCTGAGAGTCCGGATATCGCCGTTGGAGCGTGTATCGAAGCTCTTGAACGAGCAAAAGATAGTAAAAAAAATAGTTTTCCTTTAAAAAATTATAGCAAACAATATTATAAATCATTACGATCATTTCTGTCATGACTCATTAAAATGTTACTATTATTCGATTTCGTTATCTTACTTGCAGATTGTATAAATCCAATTGCACATTCTTTATTGTGTAAAATTTATAATATTTTTCCAAGTTATACAAAGATAAATGATTCATTCATTCTAGAACTTCTCATCAATCATTCTTAATATCCATAGCTGGGCACAACAAATATATTGCGAACGCTCTATATAAGCTGGGTGAGAGCCAACTACGCTCGGGCAAAGTGCTGCTAGCCTTGCAAAACTTTTCCAAATTTTTAGCAATAGCTAAGAGAATCCCGGATCAGGAAGAAGTCTGCAATGCACATATGGCGCTGGCATTTACGTATAAGTTATGCTTAATTCAAATCTCCTAATCTCCTAAAATGTAGTAAAATAATGTAACTAACAAGTTGTAAGACGTAAAAACGGCAAGACCAACAAATGACAAATTGCAAATTTTCGTCGACGTATTTTATATATTTTAACCTCGTTTTTATAAGTATATATAGATATATATTATACAACTTTGATTCTCCTCATGAACGTATGTTAATATTGGACAGTTCTTTTAGATTGTTAACGTTTTTACAGAAATTGGACGACGATGTGAACGCAGAAAAACATTTTTACTTGTTCAAAGAAAATGCAACCATATTCGGATTCACGACAAAACTCGCCCAGGCACATTATCATATTGGTGAATACTTTTTGAGCAAGGTGCGATTACGCCAAATTAACTAAAAATATAAATTATAAAATTACGAAAGGCTTAGTTTACACCGATTGTTTGATTCGCGTATCAATTGGTATATTAATAGTAAATTCGTACTAAACAACTTAATCTAAATTATGTAAACGATATAAAGTTAAAGGTAATCAATAGAGTACCAATATAATATGAATAAAATATCGAATTAAGCTATTTCGTACAAATTTAGCACTGATATATTAATTGATACGCGTATCAAACGATCGATGTATAAACTGGGCTAGAATAGAACTTATTATATTTCTTCTACAAGAAAGTTGTTTAGTGTATTTAGTGTTTTTTAGTGTACGAAACGCATCTTAATTACGATTAATATATAACTTAAGCAAACATATAATATATAACTTAAACAAACTCAATAATGTCTCATTACTAGTTCGAGTGTATTCTTTGAATTATCTAAACAATGTAAAAATAAATATGTTTTTCAGAAAAGAACAGATATCGCGACTGCTCAGTTAGAAAAATCTTTTGCTTTATACAACAAACTCGATTTGCACAATGACGCTAATAAAGCGCGAATTTTCGGAGGAGTTTCCAAGGGTAAATAATCCTTTAGGATGTAAACGGAACAAAATTCTCTAGAATGCGAACTAAAAATATAAACAAAATTAAGATGCGTATTTTTTTAAAAATCCTTCGCTTTTCTAGGACAAGAAATTATCGATCAATATATCGATCTTATACTTCAATGCGGAGAGGACGACTTGAAAGCGACATCGACGCTTTGTCAATGGAAAGATCGTAGAAGTGCTTTTTGGACTAAAAAGAAGCTATATGCTGGTAAGAGATAATATCTAGAAAACAATAATCTTTTTTTAATCTTTCATACTAGCTTTAACTAACGTATTTTGACCACTGTATCTGATTTCTATAACACACGTAAGAAATGTGACATTACTATTGCAGAAGAATCGAAAAAAATTGATTTCGAAAAGTTTGATGAAATGTCTTCGTCTCTATCGACTCTTACTGATTCCAGAAGTGTCGCGAAAATCTTATCCAAAAATTCGATATGATATATAGCTAATGAAATTCTATACTTATATATTTATACAACAATTATATCTTTATTTTGTACATTTTCGTAGTAAACAATACCAATCATATCCACTTATGCAAATCAAACGTTTTCCAAATATGATATATTTGTGACTTTTTCTTATTATACTAAAATTGGAATTCAATAATTATAAATTTAATTTTAATAATTAAACAATGTTAAATAAAAGAAGTATCAAGAAATATCTAGCGGCAAATTAAAAAGTACTTTACTTCGCACATACACACACATATTTCGAGGTACCAATTACACTGTAATTTAATGAAAATAAATGTATCATTTGCGTATAGATAAACATAAAAGCGTAAAATTATATCTTTCCAAGACAATTTTGTAATATATGTTATATATGTTATATGCAGAGTGATCCACGCAACTGGGCCAGGTTCTAGCATTTGTTCCATTGAAGATAGAAAAAGTGATACAGATGAAAGGCATAACAAAACGTATTTTTCTATCGACTCATTTTCCTTGCAACTACAATGATGTATCAAACAAGCACAATTACACTTTTGTTTTAATGGAATTGTATATATTTTTTTGCATTCATTTTTCTGAATATTTTATGTACAAAAGTATTAGAGTAAGGTATCTCTACCTTTTTTTTCTATCTTCAACAGAACAAGTGCCAAAACCCAGCCCAGTTGCGTCGACCATCTATATTTTATAATATATAATATGTACTATATATGACTTATATATAGTAGTACATTTACCATATTGTTGGATAATTTTTAAAATTTTTACTGGAAATAGAATAGTAATATAAAAAAGCAATGAAGATTTTATATTACAAGCATTGCTTAGATATAATTTTACAAATTAAATAGCATATTAATAACAATAATTTAAGTAGTAAAATTAATATCAACGCGTGTTAGCACGTTGTCACGTAAAAAGTGTGATGTGTGAGAAAAACCTGTGTGTTTAATTAAAAACATCGACCTATAAATGTATTATATAGGTAATTTCTTTTTTATTTACCGCTATATCTACGTAAAATGTATATTTATTGCATAGTAATTATTAATAATATTAATTTCTCTTGTTAAAATTTTTTTACAACTCTACTCTATATAAAAAATTTTTTAAAATCCATATTATTTTCCAGCTTTTCCCTTAATGAATCAATCATTTATTTTAGTAACTTTAGTAAGTTTCAAAACTTTGTGAATAAAAACTTACCGTTGCACATTCATATAAATGAAATGTATTACATACATTTTCGACAAATTACTATACAATAAGTGCAAGTGTACGGTAAAGTCTGTCCAGTATCACTCTATACATGTATATATCTTGATATATATTATCGTAATGACCATATGTGTTGTTATAGTTATTTATCTAACTATATCACACTATATATAATAAAGTACAAATAAAGAATTTAGTTTTACAACATATAAGTTTTACTTTCGCTTTTGATGTCTAAGTTTTATGCATATATAGCTTATTTATTTTATTTCATTACATGAAAAAAATGTGTCAAATCAATGTTGAAATATAACCATCTGTTTTTAATACTTGAGAAATTCTTGAAAAACAGTACAGTAATATAATCCTGAAAACTGTCCATATCATCGCAATCTTTTCAATTGTTCATATAATAATTAATAGTGTGAAGAAAAAATAAAGTATGAATCGTCTTTACAACTCCAGCAAACCTGGACAAAATGTTTACGAACACAAATATAAATATTCTCTTTCGAAATTAATCTCTTGGAACCGCGATGGATGTACACTGCGCATAGCGAAAAATAAATCACTCGCGTGAAGATAAAGGAAAATGTGCATTGTCATTACCTGTTTATAGGTACAATTAGTTTAACGTGATATCGTTATCATCTATTTCCATGACACTGATCGGATCTAAAGATGGCATATCGGCATCATTGCACGCCTCACGTGAAACGTTCTCCACGGTCTCGAGTTCGGTGTTCTCCAAGTACTTCGCACTATTACTGTCTTCTCGATTTTGGACTTCATTGGCTGCGAATTCGAATACTTCTTTTAATATCTCGTTAGCTGCGTCCGTGGAACTATTGTTTACATCATTCGAGAGCTCCTGTCTTTCGCAGTTGTTACTCGTTATATTATTTTCTATCAACTCTATGTCGTCCAACGCATTTTCCATATTTGAATTATTCGTGGTGATTTCTTCTGTAGTTTCCTTAGACTTTACTGTGTCGTTATTGCTGTCTGCAAGAATTACTGCAACATTGTCCTCTTCTTTATCACCTTCCGCTTTATCAAGTTTTTCGTAATTCAAAAAACTTAGGTTATCCTTATCATTATCAGCATCAAGATCTATAATCGTTTCGGTTTCCATACTCTGTTCGTCTGTTTTATTTTGCTGTTCTTCTAAAGTCTCAATTTCACTTTCATCAATAGTTATAACGTCCTCCAAATTTCTTTCGTTATTTAATATTTCTGTCTTATCAGTAACGTCCGATATAGTGTTTTGCTCTTCCTCTAGTTTTTTAGATTTTTTTAAAGATTTGTTCGCTGAATTACATTGTCTTGTTTCTACATCTGCTGTCTCTTCATCAATTTCACTATCTTTTAGATCATTCTTACAATTTTCATTATAATTCTCATTATCCTCAACTGTATTACAAGTTGACAAAATTGTTGATTCAACTGTTGTATCCACCGTTGTATCCTTGTGAACATCTTTTTTATCATTATCGCATCTGTCAACAGATTTTTCTCTTTCTATTACAGATTCTTCAGTATTATTTTCTACCTCTGCATCACTATTTTCCTCCGCATTCAAGTTTTTCTGATTTTTCACTGTAGTAAGAATGGCTTCTTGTGACTCTATATCCGTATCTTTCGATGTATCGATATCTTTGTTGATCGATGTTTCTGTATTTTTCTCCTTTGCATCTTGATGATCGTCCTGTATTTCAACTGATGTTATTGCTTCATCCAGCACAATAGCCGATTCTTCGCACTGTTGAGATTCTTTTGTTATAACTTCTTCATTTATAACTTTCGCAGATTCCTCTTCTATAGATGATTTACCTTCTGTTGCATCCAGTTTGTCTGTTTCATTATCGTTTTTATCATTCATCACTATCTTTTTCTGTGCGCTTTCACTCTTTCTTACACTAAAGATTTCTTCGTCGTCAGTATCATCTTCGACGTTAATAGCGATTTCCTCAGACAGATCGTCGGCATTTTTATCGATACTAATAGTTCTGCTGGAGCATGCAACTGGTTCTTCGGAAATTTTATCTTCTTGTGAATCAACTTCCATTTCTTGTTGCTTCTTTTCGCTGGGAACAATTATCCTTTCCAGTTTTAGTACAGCTTGCTTAAGATGCGTCAACCTGTGTTCCTCCCTCGACAATTTAGTGTCAAATTCCTTATTGCATTCATCACAAATGTATTCTGCCTTAATTTCCGACAGTACCACGACCTTCGGGCTTTTAAATTCCGATGGTGATATTTCCATACTAGATATGGAAGATGATCTTGTCCTGGTGCAAATTTCTTTTTTGACTTCTTTCGTATTCGATGAATTCGGCACATTTCTCGTTTTTCTTCTTGGAGTCATACTACCTTCGTTAGATGACTGATCACTTAATTCTATACGTACATTTGTGGTTATCCCTTTGAGAATAGATCTCAGTTTCTTTCTCTCTTGATTATCCACACTGTCCACGGAAGAAGACTGAAGTCTCCTGTGATTATTCAATTTACGTGTTTTTATTGCAGTCGTCAAAGGAACATCGGAGTCTGAGCTAACATCATTGGTACTTCTTGTTCTTTTATGTCTTTGTTGAGTTGAATGGATAATAGACTTCTCCTCCGCGTCAGTGAATAATTTCGTCGATTTTGTCTCGTTTACATTTGTGCGTTTCTGATTCGATCTTGTTACTTTTGTTGGTGTGCTTTCAACATCGCTCTTTACGGTGTCAATCCGTCGTTTCTTTCCTTGTTGTGCATCGCCATTAACAACACGATTCTCCAACTTGGGCGAAATACTTAGGCGACTATTTTCAGATGATTTGTCTTCTTCCAATGAACTTTCATCCGACACAATAAAGAATTTATTACCGTCCTTGTCTTTCTCCACTCTATATACTTTCTCGCTTTTATGCGATTCCTCGCTTAGTACGTCTGTCAAGAAAACGGAACATAACTTGGTTTCTACAAAACTGTCTTGTGTCTTTCGTAATTGTTTCTTCCCTCTGCCCTTAGTTGGATCTATTGTTAACCAACAACCTTTGCATACCGTTAGACCTGTACGATGAAATCTGTACATATCAATGCCATTTGCGACAATATTGTGGCAATGATTACAAATCCGGCTTTTTGTTTTCATGTCAATCTGCAATTTTTTCGCATTGTTTCGCGTTTTAACACGCGATTTTCTATTACGTGCCATGTCCTCGATACTCTCTGTATCAGAATTTACTGAACCATAAAATGTAATATCTGGGAAGGTAGTAACAGTCGTTTTGCGATTTATAACATCAGTGTGTACCTGAAATTTAAAAAATGTATACAGAATACACAAAAAATTTTATACAAAAAGTATATATATATATATATATATATATAATTTAACATTCTTTACAATAATTAGTTATTACCTTTGGGAAACTTGTATAATCTATCTCTTTATTAATCAGAGCTTTTAAATTGATGACTGTTTCATGATACACTCTCTTTAAATCATACAAAACATCCAAGTTATATCGACATGTTAGACATACTAGTCTAGAATAACTGTCCTTCTTACTAAGCTGCAAAAAATGAAACAATTTTAATGTATACAGTTATATTATTTATTTGTGAGAAAAAAATAAAAATATAAACTTACATCTTCATTAAAAATGTTGCGAACCTTCTGCAAAGGGTGAAATATTGCGCGATTGTCCTTAGTAATATCAAAGATACGATCACTTTCTACAAATTCGAAGCACAAATAACAGTATGGTTCTGACGGCTTGACTTTTGGTTGTGCAATTTCGTGTGATTTTTTATACTTTTCTACAAACTTAGTGCACTGATCCAATTCATATGCGCATTTATAACATATGTTATTTGATAGCTCAGTACATTCATTAACCTGAGAAAAAAACAAATTATTTAGGAAATAACCTTAAAAATAACAGAAAATTAAAGTAAATAAATAAATAAATATACATATTATTGTGTGTTATTGCTATATTTTTGCTAAATCGACATACGAGAGATTTTTCTCCCATGATAATATACAATAATATATATATATAT